CTCGCCACTGCCCACCACCTCCACCCAGCCCCTGCACCCCCTTCACTGCCAGCTGGGGGAACCCACCCCATGCCAGGAGGCAAAGGGGACTGTTGCCCGGACGTTTCTCCATAAACGTACACTCAGCGAACAGAAACTGCAGGAGCACAGACAACGAGGGGCGGCCACAGCGCTCAGCGCCGGTGATGGCGGGAGACGAGAGGCGGCAGGCTTCCCTTCCATGTAGTTCCGCAGTGGGGGACCCCGTCCTTGCCCAGGGGGCAGAGTCTGCGCCTCTGAGTTTTCTGGGAAGGAAGTGCAGCAAGCAGCCAGCTCCCCAGCAACGAGCAGGCCAGAGCCTGTCAGCGCCGTGCTCCCCCCTCCTCTGACCGACCCCTCCGAGCTGAGAGCCCGGACTGGGGAGAGTCCAGCAGCAAAGGGCCCAGCACCTCCCTCCTCCCAGCCCTGAGGTGCTTAATTCTGCCATGATCTTGTTCACGGGGTGAGGGGATTAGCTGTCACCTAGTGGGGGGCATGGCGCAGGGGACACTGGGCAGCGGCATCTGTGGTTGTCACACCGGGGGATGCTCCTGGCACTGCGTGGGTGGGGACGGAGGCCGCTCAATCCCCCACCCCAGTGCCCAGGACAGCCCCTTCAGCCCCCGGCTGGTCGGTGGTGGCAGCCTGCATCCCACTCCCACCCAGGGGAGCCCCCGCACTCCCAGGGCCAGGTGCTAGATCTGACTGCTCCCCTGGGTGCTGGAGCCCTCCCCGACCTCTGCCAAGCCCCCACCGCAGCAGAAATCACCACATGCATCTGCCTGCCCAGAATCCAGGCAGCGTGCCAGCCCGTGGGGGCCCTCGTCCGGCCGACGTGGTGTCACGGGGCTGCAGGTGAGGTCTAGGGGATGAGAGAGACCATGGGCCCCAAGTGGAAAGGGGGTGTGCCAATCCACATCCAGCAGCTCAGGAGGGGTCTGACTGCGACACCTCCCCAGTCTCTTCCTGGAGCCGCCAGCCAGCCGTGCTGCAAAGCTAGCTCACCCATTCCCCACCTGCCCCAGGGGGCACCCGCCAAGGATGTTCAACCTGAGCACATCCAGCTCCAGACCTTCCTGTCCACAGAAAGCGCGGGCCGCGTGCGCAGCGCGGCGGATGGGGCCAGCGGGAAGCACACTGCTGCTGCTGATCACCTTCTGGGTAACCCTTTTCCTTTCAGCTGGTTTGCAAAGACAGAGCAGAGAGCTGCTCTGCCCACCACCGGGCTGGCATCCGACATGGCCCTGTGGCATCGCCCCGCCCAGGAAGCCCACCCCATGCGTCCGTGTGAAGGGAGGTAACTCCACACTTTATCCTGTCTGGCCCCGTTATTCTGCTGGTGTCCTTCTCCTGGACCAAAACACCCCCTGGCATTTTGTCCTCACATCTCCTGAGGCCCCTCTGCGCTGTGACAGTTTCTCAGACTTCCCTTGCTTTTGATGATCTGGACAGTTTGGAGGAGGATTAGGCAGGCATTTTGCAGAAAGTCCCCCACTGGGGTTTGTCTGGTGTTTTCCTCACAGTCGGGGTTGGGGTGAGGGTGGGGTGATGGGGTTAGGGAGGAAGCTTGGGTGCGGGGCCTTCGCATCCTGTCATGTCAGCGGGACATGCCGTCAGGACACGTCACTGTGGACGTGACCTTGAGCCCCGGCCGAGGTCGGGTTGTCAGGCTTCTCTGTGGTAGTTGTGAGGCTGAGGTCCTGCTCTGTCGGCTCCAGATGCGTATTTATCCTGAGTTCCCCTCGAGGGACGTGTGTCCACCGGCTCTGTCTCCTTTTCTTGATTTGAGGAAGCCGAGGCTGGGGGAAGGCCGGGGGCCCCTGGTGGACATCCACACTGGGCTCTGCTCCCAGGCCGGCCGGCCCCGAAGCCTGTGTGTGTTCTTCCCCGTGTGCCCCGTTCCTCAGTCTCAGCCAGGCCCACAGGGGACCCGAGGCCACCCCAGCGAGTCCAGCATCCTCGCCCACAGCCTCCTCATCCAGACTTGCCACTCCAGGCGGCTTCCATGTGCAGCCCTTGCTTTGAATTTATGGGCCTGCTGAGCAGATGGGAAAGCCATCGAGGAGCAGGAAACTGTCCTCAAAGGTGGGAAATGCCAGTGGCCCCACACCTGCACCAACACGGGTTCCCGTCTGTCACACAGCGGGGGCCGGGCCCCCCCGGGTCAAGCTCACGCTGTCACCACACCCCCAAGACGCCCGGGCCTGGGGCGCTGGTACGGTTTGTAAAGCAGCCGAAAGGTCAGGTTGTCTTTAATAGTTTTTCTCTCTTATTTATAAAAGTAATACATACTTGTTTTAAAAAAGTTTCAGGAAACACTGAGGCTTAAATAATAAAGGGATTGTACACTCTAAGAGGGTGGAAATTTTGGGGGTATGTGGATGAAACCCTAGTTTTTTAAAAGTCAAGGAACATTCCCCTGCTGTCCCAACCTGGAGGTGACCAGTTAAAATACTTTCCACGCTGACTTTTTCTGTTTTCCATACAAACTTAGTGAAAGGTTGTAAGAATAGTTAGTATGACTTTTCGAAGCACATTTGCCAGCCACTTGCTCTTGTCCGCTTTATTCTCCGTGTGTGCACACGTGTAAATGTTGTATTTAGAGTGTATATAGTTACGTAGTTCTCGATGCACAGATAGTTGCATATATATGTATTTATACATGATACATAGTGATTTTTTTTGAGCCATTTGAGATCCACTTGAAGATAACATGCCCCTTAACTCCTAAAGACCCTGTTGGTTATTTACTAAAAACAAGGACATTCTCTTACAGAACTGTAGTGGAGTTATCAAAATCTGGAAATTTCACATGGAAACATTCTCACCTAATCCACATCCCCCTGTCCAGGGTCCCTCACCGCATCCGCTCCAGGTTCACCATCTTCTTGGGTCCGAAGCTAAAAGTAACATCTCATTCTATCATCTCTAATTTTTTTTATTACTAGAGAGTTTAAAACTCTTCATATTGGTCACTTAAAATGCGCTTTGTGCGTTGTTAGGTCCGTTGTTAACAGTTCATTTTTCAAATTTTGGGATAATCTGCGATTTACAGAAGAGGAGCAGAAACAGTGCAGAGTTCCTTTACACCCTTCATCCGGCTTCCTCTTGGGTGGCGTTGTCCATAACTGAGAACATCTGTCAAAATTTAAAAATTAAGAAATCATCTTTTCTGCAGTGCTATTCACTAAAATGTAGAACTGATTGGAATTTCATCAGTTTTCCCACTAATGAGTTCTTTTTGTTGGCCATAGTATCCAGGATCCCTCATTCATTAAGTTGGTTTGTTGACCTCTTACTGATTTACTGGAGATCTTTGTATATTAAGGACCCAATATTTTGTCCCTTGTCCCCGTGGCAGAGTATTTTCCCTTTTCCCTTCTCACTTTGTCGTGGTGAATCAGGAATCCCATAGACCAAAGTCCCGATCCCAGTAGGTCTCGCAGGATGAGGCCACCGTCCTGCATTAAGGAGAGGGTTCTGGAACCGACATCAGGCTCCCAGCAGGGCACGGGCCACACGCTGGGCCCTCCACAGACGGTTCCCACACACACCTTCCCATCCCCTCCCAAACATCAGCTGCTCCCCCAGCAGGAGCTGAGGAACTGGCAAAATGTTGCCTCGTGAAAACGTCAATATTTTTACTCCACGAAGTGGGGCCAGCTGTGGGCAGAGCAGCATCTGCCCTGACTCCACATCTGCTGAGTGGCGAGTAGTGAGGCTCTACCCGGCACTTGGGGGTGGGGAGCCCTCGGTCTGCACCCTCAAAGGCAGGTGTCCCCATGAATGCGGAGCGGAAAACCTCCTCCCCGTAGGGCAGGTTGTTCAGGCTGCAGCCCGGGAGTGTGGCTGCAGGGTGCCTTGCTGCCCTGTTTGGGGAACATAGGTGGGCAAGGCAAGCCCCCTACCCCCAGGGCAGAGGGCCATTCTCACCCTCCTGCAGTTTGAGAACTCAGCCAACCCCCCGCCGGAAGCCATCCGGGCGATTTGCAAGTGAGGGACTTGCCCCCCACCCCCATCACTCTGTCACCCAGACTGTCCTTTCTTGTTGTTTTTTCTCTTGTCTCATTATAGGGATTTTCTGTCCTAAAGAAAAACTCTGTAGGGGGCAGGGAGGGGCCAGACCACAGATTGATGACTTGTCCAGCTGGGTCTGCCCCAGAAAGCACTTCTGACGTGGGGACTGCCCCAGATCATGTTCAGTCTTCCTTGTGGCCTGCTTCCATGCTCTGCGTAGACCAAAGGGGCGAGGAAGAGGTGGGAGGGTCTCCCGCGCAGCCTGGTGGAAGTCAGGGCCGAGGATCCGGGCTGCTGGCGGGCAGGGGAGCAAGCTCAGCTCAGGTGCTTAGTCCCTGATCCTCCTCCACACACATTCCTCCTGCAGCCCCCTTCACACTTGTCAAGTGTTTGTTGAGTGTCCACCTGGGGGCTGGACACTGGAGATGCAAAGATTATTTCAAGTCCCAACGTGGCTGAGGAGGAAATGGCACAAAGGCAGAGTGCCCAAGGAAAGCAAGGACAGGAAGGCTGCCCGGAGGCGGCAGCCAAACTGAGTTTGAAAGAAAGGCACCTGGAGGCTGCCAGCAGGGTGACTTTGGGGCAGGGTAGGGGGTCCAGGAGGAGGAAGGGTTCCCTGCCCCTGGGGTGTGGCCCCCAGACCACTGAGGCTGTAAGCAAGCTGGAAATCGGCCTTGGGCTCCTTGCTCTCTCCTGCCAGGTGGTCCTCCCAGATCCGTGACCCGTGGAGGGGGCTTTACTCTCTCTCCTACTGTCCCTTTTCTGTAAAATGACCCGGATGGCAGGTGGTGGCTTAGAACAGCAGGCCTTATTCCCCCTCAGCTCTGGAGGCCAGAGCGGAGCCCAAGGCCGTGTCAGGCAGGGCCAGTCCCTCCTGAGGTCAGAGGAGGCTCTGTCCCCTGCCCCCGCCCCTGGTGGGGCGGGGCTTCTCTCCGTCCTGGTGTCCCTTGGGTCGCGGAAGCATCACTCTGATCTCCGCCTCCATTGTCAAGTCCTTGCCCTGTGTCTGTGCCCAGATTCCCTCTTTCTGCAAGGACGCCAGTCACACTGGACCAGAGCCAACGCCACTCCAGTGTGACCGCACCTTTACTTAAATAATTATATCAGCAACGGCTGTTCCCAAGCATCTCCTTCTGTTCGGGCTGCTGATCAGGCTGGCACAGACCAGACGGCTTATAAACAGCAGGTGTGTCTTTCTTACCGGGCTGGAGGCTGAAGTCTGAGGTCAAGGCGCCAGTATGGTTGGGCTCTGGCAAGGCGCCTCTTCTGGGTGGCGGATCGCCACCTTCTTGCCGTGTCCTCCGCGTAGGAAGGGGTGGGGGCTCTCCGGGGTCTCTGTTATAAGGGCACTGATCCCACATGGGCTCCACCCTGAGGATCCGGTCACCTCCTGATGACACCACCTTGGGGGTTAAGATCCAATATGTGGACTTGGGGAAGACACACTCCTGCCCATAACAACATCCTCACCCGTAAAAGCATCTGTGCAGCTGGGGGCCCCCCAGCTCCGCAAGCCAGGACAGGGCACTCGGAACCCAGGGCCCTTCCAGTCTGCAGGGCCGGTCTGTGTCTGAACGCCCTGGGACGTGACGTCCGGCTTCTGGGGATCCCCAGAGGGCGCCAGGGTCACCCGGCCTCCCTGCCCATCACTCTAGTGACTGTAACAGCTTGACTGTAAACTCGGCTGATCATTTTTTAACAATCTTCTAGAACAGCATGTGTGTGGCCATCAGGATGGCCCCCAGAGGCATTCCCATCCTGTTCCTGAGACCTGTGGACATATCCCCTCATGTGGCAGAGAGACCATGCAGAGGGGGTAGGCAAGGCCCCTGAGACAGGGGTGCCCGGGTTCCCAGGGCCCAGGGTCCTCACAAGGGTCCCTGTGAGAGGGGGCATGGGGGCAGGGTCAGAGAGACAGGAAGGCGTGGCCCTGCCCACCTGACCCCAGAACTGTCAGCATCAGTGTGTATGGCTCTAAGAAGCCCCTGAGCAGTGGTGTTTGTTACCGCAGCCCCAGAAAACTCAGATGCCGGGTTACTGAGGAGTTGGGGCTTACGCCTGTCATTTGTCTGTTTGGTGACTAGAAAGGCATCCTTTGCCCTCCTTCCTGGTTTCTGCAGTGGCCTATACTTGTGTGTCCCCGACTTGGTGACCAGCAGGCATCCACCTTGTTACTGTAAACACTTACAGACCTGAGGTCAGGCGCTCCTCCCCACACTTCCCTGAAACCACCGTGCGCTCCCAGCTCAAAGCCCAGCGCCGCACTGGCCAGATCCTGCCAGATGGTCAGCTGCATCTCCCTGACCACATTTCCCTTCTCCCCCTGCCCAGCAGCTCCAAGAACCAGCCCGAGGGCCAGGTGGGAGTTTGGGTCCTTGCAGAGTCCCAGGTGCATCACCAGCAAGAGCTCTGTGTTCCTGTCTGGCTGCTGTGCAGGACAGGGTGACCTGTGGCCTGGGACAGTGGCCGGCACTGCTGGGAGTGGCCGCCTTTGCACTCGTTAATGCAGAGAAGTTTCAAAACAACTCAGAGCCACGCGACCCATGTCAGGTGCTCCTGGGTGGCCCCCCAGGCCTCTGCACCTCTACCAGCCCAGGCGGGGCAGGACCCGAGGACTGACAGTCCCTCCAATGCAGGCAGTGGCAGGGGCCGAGGGCCAGGGGCTGGGAGGAGCAGCAGTTTGCATTCTCAGGATGTTTTTCTGTTTAACTGTATCTCTCCGGGCCATTTCCTGGTCTCGCAGACTAGCGAGGCGGGCACCTGGCCAGGGCTGGTTGTTTTCCATGTGGGAGGTGGCAGCCTGGATCTGCACCCCTATGACCCGGGAGGCAGGATACTTGGGTTCCAGCCCTGCTCCACCCCTTCCCAGCCATGTGATTTGGAAATTCTTGTTCCTCCACCTGATGCTGTTGATGTTTGGAGCCTGAGGATTCTTGGTGGGAGGGGCCAGGCATGCTGCTCGCTGCCCCACAGTACCCAGGACAGCCCCACAGACAAAGCCGATCTGCCCCGGTGTCCCCCGTGCTGAGGTGGTTGGTTTGTACGGACAGCAAACAGGTGCCTTTCATGGGCCTGTGACTGCCAAACTCACCCCACCAGGTGCGGGGGCGGCATTGCTCACAAGCACTCCCAGCCCTGTGGGTTTTGTGTTGATTGATTAATATTCTGCCTGTTCCACAAAGAACTGAAGAGTTCAGGAAGAGATTCAGTCTGATAGAAAAATACAAATAGCTTTATAAAACTGAGTCCGGGGCCACCCTCTGCCCTGGGCTCCAGGCACCAGCCTTTCTGTGGGCCCTGGGGGGCGGTCAGGCTTGACCCAGCTTGGCCTCCAGCTAAAGCAAGGCAAATCCTTGAGCCTCATGTCTGAAACCCCCCCCACTCTCTGTGATCCAAATACCATACTGTGTTGTTATATAGGAAAGCTCTACATGTCTTTCTAAATTTATTCATAAATATAAGTGCATAGTACATGTATGCACACAAGAGTATAAAATGTGCATAAGTCATATGCATGTATGTTGCATGTAAGTTATGTGTATCTACAAAGCCCTCCCTGCTTTAGGGCTGACCCAGCAGGCGGGTCCCCCTCAGCCCCCAGCACCACTGCTCAGGCTCACTCCTTGCTCAGGGGCCTGGGGAGGTGGTCTCAGGCACTTTGCAGACTTCCTTCAGTGTCCTCCCGGGGTTGTGCCCTGCGTTCCAACCAGGAGAAGGTGGCAGAGGTGACGGCTGTCACGCCCATATGTGGGTTATGCCACAGAAGACTGCAGTTCAGCATGCCCTTAGTCACATTCTCCCTTGCTGGCCTCAAGGATGTGAGCTGCCCCACTATGAGAGGGTCCATGGAGGAGGCTCTGTGACTGGGACCCTAGTGCAGCCTCTGGGAACAGAGCTTGACACCCAGCCACCAGCCAGCAAGAAAGTGGGGACCCCGGGCCTACCGCCACAGAGGCAAATGCGTGAGCAGCCTGCAGGAGCACAGGCGTGGGCCCCAGCCACACCTGGATCACAGCCTCTGGGCAGACCAGCTCAGCTGTCTCCAACTCCTGACCCCCCAAACCCTGAGACCCTAAACAGGTGGTGTTTGCAGCCACCGCGCTTGTGCGGATGCATGACACAGCATGGAAAACACACCGACTGGGTGGCCCAGAGGGGCCCCCCTGAATCTGTCATCAGACAGCAAGACTGTCAGAGCTTTGCACAGCCCAGGGCCTGTGACCTTAGGGAGCAGATGCCCGGGCTCCCCGAGGCCCTGGGCAGCCCTCTCCCCTCCTGCGCTGGTGGCCCTGTCGGCCGTGGGCTCTGCACGTGTCTAGGAGCCAGCCATGGCTGCCCTGCAGGAAGGCGCAGACTGCCCTGTGTGGTTCCCAGCTCCCCAAGTGCAGGGCTGAGGAGCTTGCTGCCGGGAGCCACGTGGAGGGCTTGTTTTCATTGCCGGCCTCTGGCCGTCCGGGCTGCATTGCACGTCATCCCAGGCAGCGCAGCCGGCTGCAGGTTGGGAAACTCAGTCTCCGAGGCCACCAGCCCCACGACCCCTGCCCCAGGAACTCGTGTGCGTGCAGCACGGATCTTTGCGCGTGTAGGAGGGCAGCGTCCCTCCTCCCGGTATGTTCATCGCCCAGGGGCTTTCTGGATCAGTCCTCAGGAATGGTCAAAAACCCCACACACAAAACAAAATGCAGCCGGGATCTCTATCCTGGTTCCCGACAGCCCAGCCCGGGGACAACCGTTGTCCTCTGTGAGCAGAACAAAACCGTCTCCCCTGGGGCCTCCAGCAGGCCTGTGGGGAGGGACCACAAGCCCATTTAATGGATGAAGATAATGAAGTTCAGATTAAAATGGGTTTACAACACATATTGACCTGGAGAAACTGGGTCCCTTGGGCTCCCCCAGTGGGACTGTGAAAGGGGACGGCCACCGCGGAAAATGGTGTGGTGGGTGTGCCCGGCTTCCTCAAACGATTAATACAGGAGGACCGTGTGATCAGCAGTCCCACCCTAAAGAATTGAAGGCAGAGCCTGAAAGACACATCTGTGCACCCACGCTCACAGCAGCACTGTTCACAACAGCCAAAAGAGTGTATCTGTTGGCAGATGAATGGATTAACAAAATGTAGTATATTGAACGAATGGACTATTATTCCACCTTAACAAGCAAGGACTCCAGCCTGGATGGGCCTTGGGGGACCGGTGCTCGGGGATATAAGCCAGACACGGAAGGACAGACCCTGTCTGACCAACTCCTAGGAGGTCCCCAGAGGAGCCCCATCCACAGACAGAAAGTGGGTGGTGGGGACCAGGGGCTGGGGGAGGGGGTGAGTATTTCATGAGGACAGAGCCTCAGTTTGGGCAGATGAAAAGTTCCAGAGATGATCACGGGGATGGCTGCACGACATGTGAGTGTGCTTAACGAATCCGAGCTATGCACTGAGAAATGGTTAAAATAGTCAATTTTATGTTATGTTCATTTTACATCAATTAGACTTTTTAAAATTAAATTTATCAAGTGGGCTTTCCAGAAGAGAAAGGCTTGTCTCAGGGCCCAGCTCACACGCACTGACACACGTGCACAGCCGGCCAGGCTGTTTAGCCTCAGGGTGGGCAGCTGGGTGGGCAAGCCCGGCATAGACCCCCAGAGGCAGTGGGAGAAGCCGGGTGGGTCCCCCTAGACTGCCCCCAGCACAGGTGTGACGGGCATCTGGCTGGAGTACAGGCTTGCGGGGGAGGGAGCACCCCCCCATTGTGGGGCGCTCATGACTTGAAGTTACAGAACCTCCAGACCAGGGACTGCAAACTTACCCCACGGGGTGACAGTATCTCTTATAAATAAAGTTTTACTGGTACATGGCCACATCCATTCATGTACATATTATCCCCGGGCCACTTTCCTGCTACAGGGACCTCAAGTGAGCAGCTGCAATGTGCCCACCCCTTTACAGGAAAAATTTGCCAGCCTGCTTTAATGGCCTCTATCCAGTCACTTAGCGGGGGATGGGGAGGACCTCACTGGGGCAGGTATCGCCATGGCCCAAATTCTGGCCTCTTGTCGCTGGCCCTTCCCCCACCAGGTGAGGCCAAGCCAACAGCCGGGATGTGGGAGCCCCACCCCACCTCTGCCTCCATCTTTACATGGCCTCCTCCCTGTGCGCCTGTGTCCAAATGTCCCCTTTCTATAAGGACGTTGGTCCTGTTGGATTGGGGCCCCCTGCTCTTTGATGTCATCTTAACTACGACACCTGCAGTGACCCTAGTCCCAAATCAGGGCCCATCCTGAGGTCCTGGGCATCAGGACTTCAACCTGAATGTACGGGGGACACAATGCACCCCAGACAGGGTCTGGTTCCCACGGGCATCTGCAGAGAATTCAGAGACAAGTCCTTGGGCTCCGTTAGTGTAGGAGCAGACTCCATGTCAGGTTGGTGACGGGGCCTGGGCAGGGCCTGGGTGGCCCCAGGGAGTCACTGCCCAGCGTCCGCTCTCAAACTGAAAAGGGCCTGCCTCGCCCTGAACTATCACCGCGAACTTCGTCGCTGGGGCTCCGCAACGCTCTCAGGAGCTGGACGCCCAGCATCAAAGGCCATCTGGGCCAGGTGCCAGGATCACGGGGCCAATGCGCCTCCATGCTTACAGGCCAGGCTTTGCTCCTCGGGCTGCAGTGACTTCTTGGAAGAAAGGCGTGTCTGGAGTTGGCCTTGTCACCCCTTGAGAGTGGACACCCCCATTTACCCAGTCTCGGGTCCTCTTCTTCCCCTCTGCCACAACCCTGCCCTTTGGTTTGGCTGCAGAGGGGCCCCCCTGAACCTCAGATCGTCCTCGAGCCCTCCCCCACATCTCAACCACTCAAGTTCCTCTTCGTCCCCACCCCAGCCTCAGTCCCGTCCCCTGCCAGTTCCCAGCAGGTCTGTTGGAAGCCCCTCCTACCACCTGGTCTCCAGGCCTGCTTATCCATGAAGCACATGAGAGTGCTTTCATTTCTTTTAAAATCAGAGGAAACCCGTGAATGTAATAATCCAACCTGGACTGTATTCATCTTTACACCAATGTGGTCGTAAAGTATGTTTGACTTTTTTTTATGGAGAAGGACCTCGAAAGTCATAATGAAGCCCCAGCTCCCCACCTGGCAGACAAGGCCAGGCCTGTGCACACCTGCCTTGCTCTGGCCACCGCCCCTCCCCTCGGACCACCGCACCCCGGGGTCCCCACTGGCCCCGGCGCCACCCTCACTCTCTGGACACGCATACTCCGCCTTAGGAAGCCTCCTTTATTTAACTTGTTTTGTTGAAAAAAATTGAGAGATGATTCACCTGCCATAAAATTCACTCATTTGAGGGGTGCAGTTTTGTTATATTTACAAGTCTGTGCAATTACAGCTACTAATCTCAGAATATTTTCACCCTTGAAAATAACCCTGCACCCCATTCCTTCCTCCCCCAGCCCCGGCACCCATGAGCCCACGCTCTGTCTGGATCCGCCTGTTGGGGATGTGTCACAGGAATGGGGTCACACGCTGTGTGGCCTTCTGTGTCTGGTGTTTCTCACTGAGGACCCCGCGTGTTCAGGGCCCGGCCACACGTAGCGCGTGTCAGGGCCTTCCTCCCTCCTCACAGCCGAGCAATGTTCCCGTGCATGGCTATACACCACATTTTATTTATCCATTCATTTGGATGTTTGCGTGGTTTCCACCTTTGCCTGCCAGGGAGGATGCTGGTATGGACATTTTATTGTTCACTGCACACATTTTAGGTAGACGTGTATGTTCATTTCTCCTGAGTAGATTCCTAGGAATAGAGCTGCCGTGTCAGATGGAAACTCTCCTTTCACCTTTTGAGGAGCTGCTATTCTGTAACTCCAGGGCCTGCCCATCCCTGCAGCTCAAGGTTCTGCAAACTGCAGCCGGGGGATCAAACCTGGCCCTCTGCCTGTTGTTACAAGTGAAGTTTCATTAGCACGCAGAACACCTGTTGTGTCTTCTCTCTGGAGGCAACTGAGTTGTGTTCCAGTGGAGACCATGTGGGTTCACAAAACTGAAACAATTTGCTATCTGGCCTTTTACAGGAAAAAATTATGTTTACTATTTAGCGCTTTATCACATGCTGTAATCATCTATTTGTGCATCTGAAGAATCCCTCCCTTCCCCCCACCTTTCCTGTGCACAAAGCTCCCAGGGCAGGAATTTGATCTTTTATTCCTGTTTCCTACAATCATTAAATGTCTGGATCCCCCTCACAAGGGGCACTGAACCCTGGGCACCACCTTCCTGTGGGCGCTGGGCCTGTACTGGGGGGGGCCCGCCCTTGGCTGCCCAGTGGAGCCACCTGCTCTCCAGCGGGCCACGCCCAGCCCCACCCCAGCACGTTCTCCGGCCTGGCTGGGGTGCAGCATCCACGTATTTCGAAGCCCCCCAAGGAGATTCTGAGGTTTGGGAATCCTGAGCTAAGTGGCTCCTAATCCCAGGAGCTCGTTGTGTTCGGGTTTCGGTCCCGGAGGGAAGGAGACCAGCAGGCCGCCCGTCCCACCAGACTGCTTGGGTGTTCGGAGGCCTGGGAGCTGCAGGCAAATGCTCAGGGGTTTTAGGTACATTTTCCGTGTTTCCTCAAGTGCCCCAAGTCTGTGCGCCCTGGGGTGGGGGGACCCTTCTCTCTCCAGGTCCTCACTTGTCACAGCTCCTGCCAAATTTTTTTTTTTTTATCAACCATTCTTTTCCTGGTGAGGCCCTTAACAAATGACCACAAACTTGGTGGCTTAAAACAAACTTATTCTCTCAAGGTCTGGAGGCCAAAAGTCTGAAATCAGGGTGTGGGCAGGGCCTCACTTCCCCGCGAGGCTCCAGGGGAGGGTCCTTCATGCCTCGTGCAGGTTCTGGGCACTGCCATGGTTTGTGGTGCCCCTCGGCTCGTGGCTGATTCACGTCCAGCTCTGCCTCGTCTCCTGGGGCCCTCCCTGTTTGTCTGAGTGTCACAGCTCCACTTTCTCTGTAAAGACACCAGTCACTGGATCAAAGCTCTTCCCTAAGTCCTGGATGACCTCATCCTGAGGTCCTTACATCCGCAAAACACCTTCCTGCAGACCCGGCCACATGCTGGGCTGGGGGTGGGGTGGATGTGAATATTTGAGGGGTACAATCAAAGATGCAATTCACTACAACCAATAAATATTTGTTCAACTGAGAACTACCCATGCGTAAGTTGAACACAGGAGCGCCCCTCCGCAGAGCCATCGTGCCCACTTTGTGGCCTCTTTTCCCTTCCTGCCCTCCCCACACACCGCACACCACCCTTGCTTCCTCGATTACTCCTTCTGCAATGTCCCAGTGCGTGCAGTGCGCGCCTCTTCCTGTCTTTGTCCAGGAAAGCCCAGAGGGGCGGTAGGACTGCTCCGATCCTCAGCAGCTGCCTGGTAGTGCTATTGGGTGTATAAATGATCAGATTAGCAGGAGGTACACCTTCAATTTACACACAGTTGTGTGTCAGTTACATCTAGATACAAATAAATTCTTAAGAAGTAAGTTGAGGTCAACAGCTATGTTGAAAATTCCTACTTAAAATGAATGCACTGAGGGGATGCAAAGACATTAACTCAATAATCCTAGAGCTGTGATTCTCAAGGGAACAGGGTTGGGGCAGTCCTGCCCCCAGGGGACACTGGGCAGCATCTGGGGACATCTGTAATTGTCACGACAGGGAGGGGGCCATGGAGGCTTCTCGATCCCCCACAGTGCCCAGGACAGCCCCCCAGAGAACGACCCAGCCCCATGTCAGCAGTGCCGAGGCAGAGACCCTGTCGTAGATGCTAAAAGTGAAGGTAGCTTTCAACCGAACAAAATAAGGTGTATTGGTCATGTTAAAAACATGAGCCGTTGGCCTGTCTGCCTGGGCCGTGACAACTTGGAACCCAGCTGTTGGACTGGGGCCAGGGGCAGGGGGGCAAGGCTCCTGCTCTGGGGTTTTATGGGACCTCGTCCCCGCTCTGATTTGAACCCTCCAGTCTACTGCAAAGACCCGAGTGGGCGGAGGGAGCAAATGCTGGTTTCGTTCTGAGAAGTAGGATGCAAGGAAACTTTAAGAGAAGTGCCCGAGGAAGGGGTTTACCTGCCTTCTCCCCAGAGAGCCGGTAAGTCGAAAGAGCTTCCGGTTTCTTTTACTCCCCCAGCGGCTTCCTTGCTGCCCTGGGCTACTTGCAGGCATTTCTGAAACTTAAAAAAAAAAGTAGATGAGCTATTTTTAAATCCTTCTAGGACAGGCCCTTGATAGCTGAACCGCTGAGCTGAGACCCCGGGGGAACAGGGGCCCCGGCCAGGGCATCCAGAGGTGAAGGCGTGGGCGGGAACGGGGTCTCTTCTGGGCATGGAGGGGAGCCATGTGTGATCGGATCGCGCCCCTGGTGGTGGAGGGAAGCAGAGTCAGTGAGCCGGGGGTTCTGGGGTGTTCCTCCCTTCCATCTGGCAGGTGAGCCCTGGCGCTTGGGGGCCCCTGGCTGGCCGGGTCTGCGCGAGCAATCCTGTCTTTCTCAGCAGTGCTGTGGAGAAGGAAGATCAAACTTGTGGCCCTTTCCAGACGCTGGCTTAGCATGACGCCCCCACCCCAGCCCCGTGGGACCTCAGCCCAGCTGCGGCCCCCACGGAGGCTCCAACATCCATACATCCATGAAACTAGGATAAATCGGGATGGGCCGGAGGATGCCAAGCCCTCCTCAGCCACAGCCCGCCTCAGCCCCAGAGCCAAAGGCCTTCCGCCTTGACCCAGGCCAGTCGGTCCTTGACCCCGGCAGCTGCCACTCCTACCTGTAACAATTCAGACTCACGTCTCTGTGGTTGTACGTAGCATTTTATATATTCCTCATTATTTTGATCTTCGTTGCCGTGGACTGACGCTCTGGGCACTGGGCTTGTCCCCAGTGACCTGCAGCGTGATGCGCTGGGGCCCCGTGTCACAGGCGGGACATTGAGGTTCAAAGAGCGAGTGGGCGTCGGGACAAACACCCAGAGTCAGGGCTGCACCCCCTCAGGATCCGCTCACTGAGCCCCAGGCCAAAGAGACTGACTTCCTGACACCTCCGAGCAGATGCTGGCTGGCTGTCTTCTAGAACCTCGTAGAATCTTCCAGGATTCTTCCTTCTCGCATAGATATCTCACCCGGCAGTCGGAGCCTGTACCGTTGCCGTCTTCGAGAGAGAAAGTGAGGATGATGATGGTCATTGTAAAGCTGACAATAACAACGCCAGAGTAGCAGCTGCCTCTGGGAGGAGGCCCTGGGAAGCCCGTGGGTCTGGATGCCTTCTAGGTCTTTGAGGGCGGCCTGGGCACGCGTGTAAAAAGCACGGAGCTGCACGTGAACGGGCTGTACGCCCTGCTGCGCCCACGCTTCAAGAGAAGAGGGAAAAGCAGAGGTGCCGGGGTCCGCGACGGAAAGCCCAGTCCCCAGGGCCCGTGCGCGAGGGCGCGGTTGGCCAAGTGCCCCCCAGCTCTGCGTGGCCTTCCTGCGGCCTGTCTGAGAGCCAAGCTGGCCCTTGGGTGGGGTTCCCGGCACCTTTGAACCCGGGGTTGATACGCAGGAGTTTGTCCTCAGGAACAAAAGGAGAGGAATACACAGTTTCATGTGCGTGGATGTTCATTTCATACGCCCAGAGCTTTCCCTGGCACGGTTATTTAAAAGGAGCCAAGCAAAACAACCTGAACACCCAGTAATGGGCAATAGGGTACTGCCCAACATATGAAAATAATAATGATACTGATAATCACACACATGACGGTGCATGCAATTGGCCACATTGCCAAATGCGGCGCAGTCACCTGGACGGGACCCCGGAGCAGGAGACAGACGCTCGGGGGGAGTCTAGGGGCATCCGCATGAAGCCTGGGGCTTAATCCCGAGTCATGCGCCAGTGTTCGGACTTTCATTTCGACAAGCTGTCAGCATCCGGAGAAGGCAGGGAAGGACATATAGGGATTCTCTGTCTTATTTATGCCACCTTTCCATCAATCTAAAATTATGACAGAATGCAGTTTATTTTGGTTAAAAAGTCGGGTGTTGAAAGAGTTTGCAGTGGCGTGGGAAAAGAGCATTTCCCCCGTGAGGTACCGCTAAGCAAGGAGAAGGGGTAAAGGCGGGCAGTCCACCAGGATGCAGGGCCTGGAGCTGTGAAAGCGGGTGGGTGTGACTGTGCCTGGGCACACTCAGGGGTGGGATGGTGGGGGATTTTCTCTACACAATGGCCAGATTTTGTAAAGTGAGATTGTACATCTTTCACAGACATAAGGGAGAGAAAAAATATTAATGTATCTACAGCTGATTCTCGTTACTCGCAGTATTGTTCTCTGGCATCGCGCACCCCCTGACTCTGTGAATACTGAGACGCTGCTGCCGGCGAATGGCAGGGCGGGAATGGCAGGGCGGGTACCTGCCAGCCTCTGGTCCCAACCGATCAATATGTAGCCTCGGGTCACGTGTGTTTCTGTTTAGACTCCTGAGTTAATATTATCACTGATTCGATAACGCTGAACTCACGGCAGCGGCGCTGTGACTCACGCTGGAGTGGAGTTCATCTAATGTGTGTTTTCTCTGTAAGCCACGTCATGGCCTTGTTGCTCTTTGTAACGCTAGCCACCTCCGCCTCTGTGCACTCGGGGGCCGATTTAAACAGCAGAATTGCCCATCAAGAAACAAATGCAAAGAAGCGGCATTCCACGTTGCAAAGGTCCCTGGTTCACAGTCTGAGCAGAAGCATGAAGGCAGAGTGCCCGCTGGGCGCATGCATGTCTGACTCGGATTTCTCGCCACTTCACATGTGCCTAAGAATGACTGTGAAGAGCCCCTGAGTATTGATTTGGGGGTGACAAATCAAGTTCAGCAAGTAGGTGAATTCACAATGGAATCCACACATACTGAGCACACCTGTGTCTAAGCCCTGCAGCCTCGTACCTGCAGGCCTGCTGTTCTGTCTCATCACGCTCGGCATGGACTTCCCAGAGGCCCATGGAGGCAGGGAGGAGAGGGCGACGTGAGGGGCCCCTTCGGCCCCCATCTCCCAGGCTGCCCAGCGTCCCAGCCTGGCAGTGGTTCTGTCCTTCTGCCAGGCCTTGGCAGCCCACGGCTGACCTGCAGCAAGAGATGGGATGGGGTCCTCTGGCCTCACATACCTGCCCACCACAGGAGCTCTCCCCACCCCCCCAGAGCCTTATTTCTGTGTGTGTGTGTGTGTGTGTGTGTGTGTGTGTGTGTGTGTCCCCACCCTCCTCTATGCAAGGGGTCTCACTGGGGGATTCTGCCCCCCGGCAGCACTCAGCAATTTCTGGGGGGACATTGGTGCACACTCCTGCATTGAGTGGTTGCCAGGCTGGCCCCCCACAGAGAATGACCTGCCCGACCTGCCCCAGTGTCAGCGGTGCCTAGGGTTTAGAGAAAGCCACCCAGCCACCTGCCTCCTGTGGCTATCACCCTGGAGCCTCCCGGAGCCTCCACCGGGTCTCCCCTGCTGGGCCCCGGGGCAGGAGGTTTCCTCTCCACCTCAGGCCGTCTAGCCTCTGATGCCGTCCCTCTGGCGCCCAGAGCGCTGAGAAAGGCTCCCGTGGCCCCCAGCCCTGGCCCAGGAGTGACAGCTCCAGTGCGTCCCTTCAGGTAGGGGGAAAAACCCCGCTGGTTTGTGGAAAGAGCTCATGTTTGCAAAGACAGAGGATGGGCTCTCAGACACCACAGGGGACGTGGGAGCCCGGGGGAACCAGCCTCACCCGCAGGCAGGCCCCGGCTCAGGAAGTCTGGCCTGCATTGGCCGGTGCAGTGCCTGCCGTTGACCTCCACAGGGCACGCCTGCAGCAGGAGGAGCCCCGACTGGCCTTGCCGTAGAGCTTGGGGGCGTCTAGCTGCTGGCAGTGGTTGGGCAGCTGTAGGGGTGCCCCTTGGGAGCACAGGCAAGGCCTCTGTCTGGCTGATGCGAACGTGTAGACTTGCAGCAACGCCTCCGTAGCCTGGAGCCTCCTCATGGGCAAATAGGAGGCAGGGGCTGGCCGTGTAGACGGAGCTGGAGCTGGGCGCAGGGGGATGGGTGGGGGGGGGCTACCACTCACTCTCCTCGAGGCCTTGGCGGGAATTAGGGCCAGGGTGCCTCCCCGAGTGGCACATTCTCAGGGCGGCTGATGCTGTGTGGAGAGCAGGATGTAGGCAGACGTTCTGCCTTGGGGTCCCCCTGACAGCTGGATGTGGCAGTCCCCCTGGGGCCCTTATGCTGTGAGCATTAAGCGTCAGAGATGCGGGGTTTCCCGTGGGGTTGGGGGTCCTGTTCCGGGGGAAACGGCAGCCCCAAAGTGCCTGAGTCCCCACCCCACCCCCGGGCTGACCTTGGGGACATCCTTCCCTTCCTGCTGACCTCCTGGCCCTGGGCGGCCAGCCTCGGGTCACTCTCCTTCCTGCTCCCATATACCTGTCACCTCTCCCACCCGAGGTTAATTGGTTTGCCCGAGTTCACGTTTTCCACCTCTCCCTGTTCGCCCCGGCACGTGGCTTCCATCAAAGCAGAAAAGCAGATGTGGAAAAACACCCAGCATTACATTTCAAGGCCCGATTCCTGAATATTTTGTTTTTCTTGTGCTGGTATGTCCTGTCCGATGGACTGGACCATGGCTTGGGTTCCCTGTGTTCCGACATGGAATAATACAAGTTCCAGAAAAAGCTTTACCCCTATCCCTTTCCCCTTTAATTTATTTTTTTTTCTTTTCTTTATTGTTTTGTTTTTAATTTGGTTCTTTTTTATTCCCTTTTTTTTGTGGGGGACATGGCTGTTTCCAATAACCATGCCACATTTTTGGCGACAGCCAAGTATTAGTCTGAGAAAAGCTGGAGATGGTTAAGTAAAAAATATTTAACCATGCATTATTTCTCTCTTTCTTTTTAAACAGGTACTTCTTGGAAAAACTGAAAAAGGTATGTAGCATTTGATCTTACTTCATGAGTTTGGAATCTCTTGTTTTTTTTTTTAGAAAAAGGAACAAACAAGCCACAGTACTTCATAAGCACATGACACCCTAGGAATTGTGTCACTGAGAACAGAGCTCTGGGCGCAGAGCCAGGAAACCTGAGTTCAAATCCCAGGCCCGCCTCTGAGCTCTGTCACATTCGGGCAGACTCCTTCCACCCCCCTGCGGCGGAGACGACATCCTCCAACTTGGCAGGAGTGTGGCAGAGGTTAAGCAAGGCTGTAGATGTAAAGATGCCCAGTGCCGGGCGTGGAAGTAGCTCTCTGCTGAACGTGAGCGGGACCCGGCGTCGCGGCCGAGTGGGTGACGCGTGCGTGTCCAGGAAACATTCCCGTCTCCTGCAGGCGACCCAGCCCGCCGGGTTCCGCCAGCGCTCATGGTGTCCCCCCACAGTGGTGCCCCACTCTCGTTCCTGGCCCCTGCTCCCGGCCTCCTCTCCTCTCCTCTCTCTCAGTCCGACTGACTTGAGGCTTGCCAGCGCTGCCAACCTTCCCAGAGGGCCAACTTTTGGTTTCATTGACTCCCCCTCTAGGCTCCTCTCGCCTCTGTTTCGTTTCTGTTCGCCTGTTGTCATTTCCTTCCTCCTGCTGGCCCTGGGTTTCTCTCACGCCTCCCGTCCTAGTTCCTGACGGCGCAAAGCCAGAGCCTGGATCTGAGATCTCTCTCCTTCCCCAATGCAGTCCCCTGGTTTCAGTGTTAATCCCATCCAGAAACAGCCTCACAGAAACAGGCAGGATATTGTCCGACCGCAGATCTGGGCATCCAGTGGCCCTGCTAAGTGGGCATGTAAAACTAGCTGTCACTGGGTCCCCCAGGCTGCACATGTGCACAGGGCCCCTCAGAGTCCTCCAGGGCCGCCATCCCTTTCCCTGGTATGGTCAGGGTGGGGACACTAGGAGTTCAGTGAGGAGAGTGAAGGATCAAGGCTTTAAAAAGCCACACGCTTCAACAGATGTTTGCGCACCCGTGTTTGCTGTGGCAGGATTCACGGCAGACAAAAGGTGGAGACTACCCGAGTGTCCGTCGATGGGTGGATGGATAGCCACAGGAGTCCCCCTACGCGCCGGAATATTACACAGCCGGGAAAAGGGGTGGAGCTGCACATGGACGGGCCCTGAACATGGTGCTCAGTGAGACGCCAGACAGAAGGCCACCCGGTGTGACCCCGTTCCTGTGACACGTCCCCAACAGGTGGACCCACACAGAATGTGGGCTCGTGGGTGCCGGGGGCTGGGGAGTGACTGCTCATGGGGATGGGGCCTCCATTTGGGGTGACGGAATGTTCTGGAACTAACCAGCAGCAATGACTGCACAATAATGTGAATGTACTTAAAGCCGTAGAATCGTACACTTAAAAATGGTTAAAATGGCCAATGTTATGTTACATATACTTTACCACGATTTGTAGAAGTTAATCGTGTAATATACCCCAAAACCCACTGAACTGAATACTTCAAATGAGTGAATTATATGGTCTCCAAATTTATAGCTCAGTAAAGCTATTTTTTAAAAAAGGAATGTAAGGGAAAAGGGGAGAAAACCGGTGCTGGGGAGTCTACGGGGCTGGGGGCAGAGCCATGGTGAGGTGGTTTTCCTGGGTGTCCAGTGCTGCGTGGATACACCGAGGTGACCAGGGAGAGGCAGGCCTACATGCCCAAGTGAGGGGTCAGGCAGAGAGGGGATCCCAGCTCCCGCGTGGCCTGTGCCTCGGGAGGTGGTTGGTGAGCACGAGACGGCGTCCCTGCTGTGTCAGGCGTGGGTCCTCCCAGTGCAAGCGGGCATGCCAGGCTCCTGCAGCGAGGGGTCGCAGGACCAGCGGCGCGGAGGAGACAGGACGGCGGCCAGCCTGGTGTCTGACGGGGCAGGAAAGCCCCGGGCTTTTGGACAGCGCCGAGCGGTGGAGAAAGGGTCCGCAGTGGGCCAGGCAGTTTGCTGGAAAGCCCAGCAAACGAACCATGATGAATGGATTCCTTTCAGAACGACTCTTCGGCTGGGAATTCATTGACCAGCAAGCGCTGTCGCTCACTGGCGCAGTTCCTTCCCGGCCGCACCTTGGGGGCTGTGGACGCCCCCCAGGCAGGACGCAGCCTCCCTCCTGGCTCTGTCACTCTGTCACCTGCACGGCCTTGGGTTTGTCTCTCAGAGCAGGGCACATGGCCGTCCCTTCCTACAACCATCATTTTAGTCAAGGGTTTTGGGGTCAGGAGGCATTATTATTTATTTTGTGTTATTTTTACATTTTCTGTTTATATTGCCTTTATAGTCAAGTTGACTAATTTAGGAGCCGAAGGCCCGTTGACGTGACGTTGTAGGGTAACACAGGGGAACATCCCAGCAGGCCTCCTCCAGCCGCATCCCCGCCGTCTCCTCTGGGCCTGGGTCCTCCCTCTAGGCCGCGCTCTCTGCTGTAGCGGTTGGCAGTGCTACTCCGCCCACGCGCTATCTCACAGTCGCTGTGCGGGCCAGGAGTCCGGGCACAGCCTGACTGAGCCCCGTGCTCGGGGTCCTACCGGCCCCCGCCCAGGTGTCAGCTGGGGTGCAGTCTCTCCAGGAGGCTCAGCTGGGAAGAATCTGCTCCTCAGCTCCCTCCGTGTGTTGGCAGTATTCACTTCCTTGCAGTTGTGAGACTGCACCTGGGGACCTGCTGCCTGTCAGCCGAGGCTGCCGTCGGCCCCCAGCTGTCCCCCGCAGCCCCCCACCACGTGGGCCTCTTAAACACAGCTGCTCACCAGCAAGCCAGCAAGGAAGAGCTGGGAGGTGCTGCCCGAGACCCTCAGAAAGCCGGCACCCCAGCCCTGCAGAGCCCCAGGGAGGACTCCACAGCACCACCTGGGCGCATTCTCCCCGCCTCTAGGAGCCAGTTTCGGCCCAGGCCGGCTTCCCTAAGTCCTGCAGAGACTCCAGGAGTAAGGCCCCCGGCCCCAGGCAGCTGCAGTTCCCCTTCCCAGCGGGAGCCACACGAGACCTGGGCACTCCTGGGCAGCCCAAGGCTTGGCCGCGTTTCTGCACTAACAAGGAAAGGCATAATGGAATTTGGGCGGCCAAGAAAAGGGATGTCAGTGTGAGCAGAAGCAGACACTCGATCTCATTGTTAGAAATTCCGTGCAGGTCATGGAAACCCCATCTTGGGGCAGAGGCTGCTGGGAAGCCGAGATTAACTCACTCCCAGGAGCGATTTCCTGCAGATCCAGAGCTGACCCTGGTGCCTCTGCTGCCACCCGGGCACGGAGATCCCTTCTCCCCTGGTTCTGGGCTCTGCACCATGGACCCTCAGCAGGGGTAGCTGCAGCTGCCCCATCTGGAAGCTTCCACAGGGGACACCAAGTCTCCATGCTTATAGCATCACAGCACCAATGGGGTCCTTGGGTCCGCGTACACATCCCCAGAGGAGAACGCAGCCCACCAGCATCTCAGTCAAGGCCCCGAGGTAACCTCACGGGCCCAGACTTGCACACTAGCCTACGATCGGCTCCCTGGCCCTACTGCTCGGTTTGGAGGTCAGGCCCTGGTGCCCAAGCAGGGGTTCCATCCAGATGTACTGCTGCTGCTGTAGTGCATGCAGAGCGCCCTGGCATTCGACCCCACCCCTCCTGTCTGCACCGGGAACCCCCCAGGGTGTGCCTTGCCTCGGCACTGAGCATTCGTGGTCGTGGTGTGTGCCAGGAGCCGGTGCCTGGAGCTGGGCTTCCCACTGAGGCCCGAGGCGACCAAAACAGCATGCAGATTTCACGGGGGGTGTCTCCCCTTCAGCACTGCCCACATTCGGGGCCGGGTCATTCTCTGGGGGCCAGCCTGGGCACTGTGGGGGGTGAGCAGCACCCTGGGCCCCACCCACTCGATGCCAGGAGCACCCCTCGTCGTGACAACCATAGAGTGTCCCCTGGGGGACACAGTCACCCCTGCTTGAGGCTCTGGCTCCCCACACCAGGCAAGTCTCTAAAACTGTTCAATTGATCACTTCGCTGGCTGGGCTTTGTTTTTATTTTAATGTGAAAAATGCTCCTAATTATAAGTAGCCCTCAGTAAGAGCCTTTCTGGGCCTGTTTTATCCCAGGACTTTCCAACAACGTCAGTGGCAGGGTGGGTGTCTATGGAGGTTTCTCAGAGGCTCGGGGACCACCGATCGTTTGCTATGCGATGCAGTGTTGAGCCTCCAACACGCTGAGCATTGACCAGAGCAAGGGTCCCCCAATGTCTGCAGAGCAAGTGGCCTCCACTGTCCCTCCAGGTGTGGCCAGGTGCTCTGCTGCCAGCTGCCTGGTCCCGGAGTCCCCTGTCCTGGGAGAGACCTTGGTCCTGGGAGTGAGTTTCTGGAAGCAGCCTCTTCGGTGAACACCTGCGACGTGGCTGCCCATTCCTTCCACGCAGGTGGCCCTCTGGTGCCCAGCTTCCTGGCCCTGGCCTTCAAAGATGTCCATATCCTAACCCCTGGAGCCTATAATGTGACGTCTTCCATGCAAAAGGGACCCTGCAGAGGGGGTAGTCAAGGCCCCTGACATGGGGGTGGCCCTGGGTTCCCAGGGTCCTCACAAGGCCCTATCCCGTATGAGAGGAGATAGGATGTCAGGGTCAGGGAGATGGAAAGGTGCTGCCCTGCAGGCTGTGCAGACAGAGGAAGGGGCCCCGAGCTGAGGCCATGGGGCCTCTAGACACTGGAATAGGTGACACAGTTCTCCCGGGGCCCCTGGAGGACCCGGCCCTGCCTGCACCTCAATTTTAGCACAGTGAGGCCCACTTCAGATTTCTAAGCCACAGGGCTATTCAGTCATAAATGTGTGTTGGTTGTAATCCACCAAGTTGGTGGTTATTTGTGACAGACACAAGAAATGTGCACGGTGCCCAAGGAAGGCCCAGGTCACTGCAGGTGCCCCAAGAAGGGGTTTGGTGCAGCGTGGTTGTGCGTGGACAGTGGACCAGGTTTCAGAGGTGGCACAGGGCTTTACAGGA